TCAAAATATCTGTTAAATATCTTTAATTTGAGTAACATTACGTAACATCTCTCTCTCACACAAAGTAATTCATTTTAGCTTCCGTTTGAGAAGTGGGTTGACTTTTTGACTTTTTTAGCTATTTTAGCCTGAGCTAAAAAGCTTGATTTGGGAAGGACTTTTTGATTTTTTGACTTTTTTAACTTTTTTTGTGAGAGAAGAGTGTAATGATTATAGATTAGATGTGATGTTTTGTCTGTTGTGGCAAAAATAACTTATTTTGTCTTTTATGACTATTTTAGCCACAAACCAACTTGCCAAACATCCTCTTTGAACTCTCCCCCTCACTTTCTTGCCAAAACTGGGATTAGAGTCAGTCACACACAAAAGCTAACCAAGAATCTGTTTGGAGAGAGTTAGATTGGGCTTTTTTTACTATTTTAGTTACAAAAGACAAAATAAGCTATTTTAATCACAAAAAACAAAACATCGCATGCAATCCATAATCATTACACTCTTCTCTCACAAAAAAAGTCAAAAAAATAAAAAAATCCTTCCCAAACCAAACTTTTTAACCCAAACTAAAATAACTAAAAAAATCAAAAAGTTAAAAATGTAAACATTATTTTCAGAACATGAAAATTTATGCTTTGGATCATCTACCATGTGAATCATCAAGAAATTAAGACAAAAACTTACTCGAATCCATCGATGAACGGTTAAACGGAAACGTGATTATCAATAAACCCTTTGTTATTGATTTTGTTATTGTCTTCTAATCATTTCCTTTACAAGTGCCTTATCAATTTCTCCTTGAGAGGAAATAGAAGAAGAATGGCAGTTCTTCATCATTGGCAGGATTAGGGACCATAACAATATAAGGTTGAAATAGGTTTTTCAACAACACAACCGTGTGGTAGTTTTTTTTATGAAAACCAACTTAACCAATATGTTTTAATTTCTATTTCTGCCCATCATAGAAATAGAAATTACTCAACTAGTATCTACACATTAGGTCCATAACACATATACCATTAAGCCTATTAACTAAATTGAATCACTTAAATTGTAGGCTTCTTATAAATGATAACACCACATTTAAATATGTGGTCCTTGAGACAATTATCTACAATCCCCACTGGACCATATGTAACTTGAAAAATGTGCTTAACTTTAGTGAGCTCTGAAAATTTGTTATCCATGACCTGAGGGTATCCAAACAATCTTGTCATTAACTATATTGATATAGGATCAAAGACGGTCTTTCGATACATTAATCGTAACTCGACCCAACCAATGGTCACGTATACTAATACAAGCTAAATAACAATAAGATCAATCATGGATGCGAAGATGGAAATTACATGTAATGTGATCCATCATGCCTATTTCCAATCGGTCCTACTTAACTTTATTGAAATCAACTTCACAATACGTAATATAGTGTAATAAACTGAGTACTTCATTTCTTGTAAAATTAATACCTAATTACATAGATAAAACTTAGTTGAAAAAGCATGTAATATAAACAAACTCCCACTAAACCAAAATGTTCTCAAATCAGAACAACCCCATTGAGCAGTGTGCTCGAATGAAGACCTTGGGGTAATGAAGTCACCTTTGTAATGGATACCGTATCAGATAGGTTTGTCCAAATGTTGCTCTATTGGAAAATCTGTCCACATCTGACCTTTTTTTCTACAACTAGGAACTTGATTATCAAAATATACTTTGGAATTTTGTTGAGCTCTTGTTGTTTTGGAATATAAAACTGCAAGAAACTCTTAATTGTTCAAACAATAAATAAACTTAGTGCCATTTCAATGCCTTCCAAAAACACGCAACCCAGTGACAAAATTCCGCAGCCATTCCCTTGGTTTGATGCGCTCATAACATGCTACAAACTCTGCGGCCATGGTGGATAGAAGCTATGAGCGTCTGCTTTGCAGACCTCCAAGAAATTGGCTCCGCCAACTAACAGATAAATTAAGCCTGATTGATTTCCTACATGTCTTGGCATCCAATCAACAAATTGGGAAGTCGAAATATTCCAAATGACCTCTAACTTATCCGATCTCCTATAATGTGAGCATATATTCCTTTGTTCTCATTGTAAATATTCGCATAAACACGCTTGAACTGGCTTTCCAATGATCCATGCTAGGATTACTTAAATATCTGCTAACGATGCTCAACTCTAAGA